TAACTGAGCGCATCTAAAAAGAAAAAAAACGGATGAATGCGATCATGTTGCAAAAACAATATTCAAAGCGCTGGTTCTCTGTAAGAGATGTGTATGATTATTAGGAAAGTTCCACATTTCAGTTTGTCACTGGATTTTGTAGATAATTTAAATTTTATTTCACTTAATTCAACTGAAACACCTCATAAATAACTCAATGTTTGGAAGATTTCAAAATATTAGATGCTAACTACACATTTTTTCATTTTACGAGTCTGTTTTGGTCAGATTAGTGAAGCTTTTTATTGCTACTTAAACACATTTACTTGTTGAGTAACTTATAGCCCTAAATCGCTAATCATAAACATTAGCTAAACAAATGCTAGCATGCTATCCCAACATGGTGTGTTATAGAAGCTAATGCTAAAGCACTAATTTCAGTCATGTAGGCATAAGGAGTAAACAAGGAGACTTTTAAAACCACATCTGAAGAATATTGACAAAGCTTTCCACACATCTTTAATGGAAATGCCTCTAGCAGCTAGCGGCTAGCAGCTAGCATTTCTCTGAATACCAGGGATTTACTGTGAATACCAGGGATTTAATGAATTAACGTCAGACTTCTGCAGGATCTTGTGTAAGTTTGTTGTTTTTTTTATTTTTACCAGGCAACATTTCTGAGGAAGGAATTCAGACTAAAGCTGGGAAAAGAAAAATGACTTTGCACCATCAGGTAGCAAACAAAAATGAAAATACTAGAACCATTATATTCCAAACAGAAGAAAAAAAAATCAAATCATATTTTCAAGTAGTAGAAATTAAGGATTTTTACGATGCTCAAATGTAAGGGAGTTGTTCTGACCGTGTTTGGAGGAAATGACTAAATAGGAGGAAGAAACTGAGGGCCAAAGAGGCCATAAAATGACCAAGCAGACTTGGCCATGAATGCTGCAGGCGTTAAGTAAGGAAGTCAGAAGGAAAGACATAAATGTTTGGGGTGCATGGGGTCCAAAGTGTGGCCCGGGGACCATTTGTGGCCCTTGGACTGATTTTGTGCGGCCCCCACCTGCAGTTCAAAAAGGATACAGATCTGTCCTGTAGATGCAGATGGAGACTTTTCATTTGTAATCAGGGTAAATTTGTTACCAACATTATTTCTTTACACAAAATAAAGTATTTGTGGTTTTAGAACTAAGTTTTAACAAAAGGTAAAACTGAATTAATCCAGACACTTTTATTGAAAATCCAACTTTGCTGCACCAAAATCAGCTGTTATACTTTCTTAAACTTGGCTAAATATAGCAAATATTTTTAAACAAAGTGACCTAAATCCTCTTCTTATTACTGAAAATAAAATTATTCAATTGACCCCAAAAGAAACTAAAAACCAGAAACTTTTTTTCAAACATGCAAGACCTACTGCGCCGTGTTAGAGCCATTATATAAAAACACCCAGTAAACTTCTGCCAAAAAAGTCTGAAATTCTGTAAATAATCAGAAATTTCCTTGGAAAAAAAAATTAATTAATCATAAATTTAATTTCTAAACTTTTTGTAGAAAATTTCCACGTTTTCTAGAAAATTTCTGAGATTAATCACAAAAGTTAATCTAAAAGTAAAATTTGTATAATTTTCGAATTGCGCAAAATCAGTCCAAGGCCCACAAATGGCCCCCGCGCCGCACTTTGGAAACCCTCCCTTAGTTAGTCTGAGCAGTGTTTTCCCATGACTGGAAGTTTATTGCTGGTTCTTCACCTGTTAGAGCTCATGGAGAATCAGCCAATGACCCAGAAGGAAACCCTAACTGGCAACCAGAGATCCCCCTTTCAGTGCGCCGTGACAAGGACAAATGGCGCCCACCGCCCCTCACACAAAACGTTGGGGTTAGCTATAGGTTGCTGATGGTGAGGCTTCTCGTCCGGTAGTTTAGGAAGAAGAAGGATGGGGGAATTTTCTGGTGTGTTTCGAAGGAGCTGGAATGAATTGACAATCAGTGACTTGTGTTCTTAGACTTTAACATTTTCCCAAGGAAGAAGTAAACAGGACAGAGCTGCCCCCATTTTTTGGTCGCTAAATCAGGAACGACCAAATATGGGGTTCCTGAGCAGCTTTGGAAACGGGAAAATCTGGAGTTTTACTTGGCGATTAAACAGTGAAGATCATTCACTTTTATTTAAATATCTGACTGTAAGGAACACTGTTAATTAAATTTAAGGTTGGGTAAAGGCAGAGTTGGAGAATGACTAGTTGCATTTACTTGAGTAACTTTTAAAAAATACTTTTAATATTTTTATTACGCTGTACATTTTACTTTTGCTGAGGATATTTAATGAAGTATTTTTACTCTTGAATAAAATTTCTGGATTCAACCCACTGAATGAAAAACAAGTATTAACCATAAATTCACCAGACACAGACATACCTGCAGTTTTTGTTTAAGTTTCATAAGTTTTTTTTATTGAAAGAAACTGATTTGGAAAATATTCTTTTGCCTGATTGTGTGTTTTTTGTTTTGTTTTGTTAGCTGTCTGAATTATTATTTTATTTCTTAAAATATTGAAATTTCCACTTCTTTTTTTGGTCCATCTGATGATGTCATTTTTAAATATTAAATGATTGATAAGGACTGGAGTAGGCTTCTCAAATAATTTATACTCGAGTAATTTCATAAATTACTCAAGATAAATTTTATTTTAGTAATTTTATTCTGAAGTATCGCAAGCCAGCAGGCAATGAACCGTTACCTAGCAACCCCAGTAGAATTCCGCCCGTTACCTAGCAACCCCAGTAGAATTCCGCCCGTTACCTACAACCCCAGTAGAATTCCGCCCGTTACCTAGCAACCCCAGTAGAATTCCGCCCGTTACCTAGCAACCCCAGTAGAATTCCGCCCGTTACCTAGCAACCCCAGTAGAATTCCGCCCGTTACCTAGCAACCCAAGTTGATCTCTTGGAAAAGACGAACCGTTTTTGTTATTGAACAAGCATCCAGAAACCGTTTGCTGCATTCCTGTTGGTTTTACAGGAGGCTCCACTTCTGCTTTTCAAAGAATCACTGTTGTATAATTACGCCTGTGTTTGCAGCCATTTTCAGGTGCTACTGTAAACGTGGAGTTTGGGGACGTGGCCAGCAGCAGCGTATTTAGATTTAAAGGGACAGGCGGGCCTAAAACAGATGCAAATATCAAAGAATGGTTTTGTGAAAAAATTTAATTAACATGTTTTGTATAGACCAGCTTTGATGAATGTGTGATTAAATTTAAATTATTTTAATGTTTTTTCCTTGTTTGTAAAGTTGAACTGAACTGAATTGAATGAGCATAAATTAATCTTGAAGTTTAATTTTAGACTGTCAAGAGAAAAGTTATGATCTCTCCAGGATCTGAGCTGCTGCCTTAAAGGGATTTATTTCATAAGCATTATTACCAATATTAAAGATGAACAGCTGCGTGATAACATTAGGCCGTACTGCATAAGGATTGGGAAATGCGAAACACTTTATGTTACTCTTCTGTAGTTATATAATAATGTGCCTTGTTTATGTTTCCAAGTTCAGCTTTTAACTTCATCCAAGGTATCTAGTCATTAAATATGCCTTGAACTCTTTAAGTGTTGCTCTTGAAACGCAAGAAAGCACAAATCAAAAGTCTGAACCGAGCTGAGAAGTAAAACTTGACAGTTACCGATTTAAAAAATAAGTATAATGTTTTAGAAGCAGAGGGATGTAAAAACAATAATTGTTATGCTTCGAAAACGCTCTGGTGACGGAGTGGGGAGGGGGGCATAATCCGCAGTTTGAGTGATGATTATACGCTATAAATCAACTAACGAATCAACATTTCCAAATCGCCAGCGCCGTTCAAAGCAAACAGCCACTGCATGAAAAATAAGGACTGGGTAATTGACCGGAGCCTAAGCTGGAGAGTCAGAGGGAGTGACTGAACATATTTCCCCCAGTCATTTGCCAAGTCTCTTTTCACACCTCAGAACTCCCAACTTCCCCTCGATACCATAACTAATCACGTCTGCAGCCAATCGGCTGGCGGCACGGCGGGCCTTCGCGCTCCAGGGCCGAGCAGTGGAGTTTTAAGACAATGGAAAAATCCTGCCGTCCCCGCTGCTCTCATAACTTCAAACATCCAGACCCGCCCTGCCTTAATATTTATTCCACACCTTAAAAGTCATGTCTAGAAAGGTTGAGAAATATGTTTTTGTTCCTCTCGTAAAGCAGCGGCGCTCATGGGTGAGGTGCAGAGCGGCGATGCTAACCTGCTGGCTCCTCCGTGCTGCTCACCGCAGCTGTGGGGTTCACCACCGGGATTTCTGAAACACACAGGAGACGCAGATTAATGCAGATCCAGAGAGCGAAAACATCCAAACAGATACAGAAAACAAGCAAAAAACAAGCAGACCGGTCCAGGCGGAGATCATCACAGTTTGGATTCTGATATGTTTTGTTTGTTTCTCAGGTTTATTCTGACAGAATGACACTCTTGGGTTGAATCTTGTCAACTTACACTGCAAAAAATCAACTATTTTTGGTCTGGTATCCATTTCAAATATCTTAATACTCTTGCAAAAAGACAAAGCTAACTTAGAAGTAACTTTTAAGCAAGATATAGGAGATGTTTTTATAATGTCTTAATGTTGATGAGTTATTTAATGTTTTCCCATGTTATAAGTGAAATAATCTACCTTCCAGTTGAACTTGAACGTTTTTTATCAATGTTAAGGAATTATTTATTTAAGCAAGCTCCTATGTCTTGCTTAAAAGTTACTTGTAAGTTAGTATTGTATTATTTCATGTTTACTAAGACATTCGTACTAGAAACTAGACAAAAACAAAATACCTGGTAAGATTTAGTGTTTTGCAGTGTAGCGGGAGAATTAGCTCCTGGTTTTTGGCCAAAGACAAAAGAGAAATCCTCCGTTAAATCTGATGTTACTACATTTGTGTTTACATTTGCTGAAGAAGGAAGTTGTGCTCAGTGTCATCAGAGGTTTTTTTGTCATTTCCTTCAGTGGCTGTGGGTTGAGCGCCCCCACAGGCGAAGAGGGGAACAGCAGAACCACAGCATTTTACAAATGTTGCAGTTTTGGTCCCCAATCAAACTGAAACTACCAGACTACCTGGCGGAAAAACTCTAAGACTCTTAGAAGAAACTGCAATTTAAAGGTGCAGTATGTAATTTTTATGTCACATATTTTTGTTACATATTTCTTGAAGTGACAGAAAAAGACAGATAATCTGTGAAAGAAATCTAGTTTCTCTGCCTTCTTCCAGTGCCAATTAGAAACAACCAATCAGAGACAGGAGGCGCGTCCTAGCGCTGTCAATCAAGGTCTGTGTGGCGCTACTCATCCCTGTCCATTCAGATCTGCTGTTGTATCAACCTTACAGACTTCTCAGATCTTCTGGTTCTGGTTCTGCTCTGCATCCAGAACCAGAACCAAACATGGAGAAGCAGAAATCCTGCTGCTTTTGAAACATTATCAATGAAACATTAATCAATATTTAATTTGTAATGACTTTGGAAAACTGTTATGTTAAATTTTTTGTGAACTTCCTTGTTGCTGAAATGTGCTACAGAAATAAACATGACTGGTTGATCTCTGCTATCCCATTTGTGAATGCTTACGCTAATTAGCATAGCCACTGGTGACGGCGAAAAATGGTTGTTTTTTTCCATTAGCACATTTAGCAGTGAGTACATGAGGATGATTTACAGCGCTAAGCCTCTCCACCTGACTCTGATCGTTTTAGGGTCGTTAGCTCAGACAGGAGGCAGGTGAGATCAGTTTTTCCACGATCATCTGTCATGATATGGAGACATTTTAATAAAAGTTACGTTCTGCAGCCTTAAGTTTGCCACCCTTCTTCAGTTTTTGCCCCTGCCTCGTCCCCCTGGGGAGAAGTCATCCCGATGCCCCCAGCAGATGCCGGGTTAACTCTGCGGCGTAATCTCCCCGTCCGGACCGATGGACAGATGGCGCGGGGCGTCTTGAGGCAGAATCCGCCCCCTCGCTGGAATTCCTCCTGGACCTCTAATCGTATGCGACCTCCCAATACAAATGCTAATGCTAACACCGCTGTTACCGTAACACAGAATTACCAGAACGCCGACTTGGCGGATCTGCTTTTGATTAGGTTGAGGGTTTTCAGGACTGAAAACCCTGTGTGTGCGTGTGTGTGTGTGTGTGTGTGTGTGTGTGTGTGTGTGTGTGTGTGTGTGTGTGTGTGTGTGTGTGTTGGGCCGGGTTTGGTTCTTGGAAAGCTGTTTTGAGGCAACGCAGCAGTTGTCTCTTTAAAATTATGGACACCCTGCCAACCAAAACAAACAAGGGTGTGCAGAGGCCTTGTGGCGACCGCCAGGCGCAGCTGCTGCGCCGCTCGGAGTCCCCGAGCCGTCACCGCCTCGTCTTGTGCAGACGGACAGATGATGAAAGGATGGTTTGGATATGGGCGGCCGCCTTCATACTAATTGGCTGCTCAATGGGCCTGTCTTCTGTCTCAGGAGGCAAAAATGACAATCAGGACACCATTTAAAGAGAAATTAAAAGCAAAATACATGACAGGATTCAATGCTGATAATGAGAACAGTTCCCTGCAAAAACACAACAACTTTATTATTTTTAGTAAATATAGACTTTTATCAGCCAGTTTTTGTTAAAAAGAGGGAAACGAGAAATCTTTCTTTTCATTTATCATGCGATTAATTGATTTATTGTTGATTGTGACAGGCCTGTTCATGACAACAAGCATTCAGTAACATCAATGTTACTCTTAAAAGTAACTTTTCAGCAAGATATGGGAGCTTGTTTAGAGTCAATAATTTAATATTGATAAACTAACAAATTATTTTACATATAACAAAACATTATTTTCATGTTATAAATTAAATAATCTGCCAATGAAACTAATAATCAATATTCAAGAATTATCGACTTAAAACAACCTCTTATATGTTGATGAAAAAGTTACTTTGTAAGCCAGTTTTCTCTTACTTCAAGTGTACTAAGATATTTGCAGGAGACACTAGACCAAAAATTGTTGGTAGGATTTTGTGTTTTTGCAGTGAAATCCCAATAAAACACATTGAAGTGGTTGTACCATAAAAAAATGAGAAACACTCCATTGTCTGGCTCTGCAGTAAATCCAGCCATGTATTTTGTTTCAAAAAACCAGACGACAAACACACATCCACTGGTTTCCTTCCCTTCCCGGACAGGTCAGAGTCATTCAGAGTCGTGTGTCGTTGACCATCCGTGTCCGCAGTCGTCTTCCCCTTCATGCCCATCTGCCATCTGCTGCAGGAGCATGATGGCAGCCTGCAGCAGCACGGCAGCCTGCAGCATCGTGGCAGCCTGCGGCACCGTGCCGCTGCGAGGCCGGGCGGGGCCCCGCTGCAGTCTGAGAGCCAGCAATGTGGCGCTCAGTGTGGCGGGGACCTGCCCTCACTTACATATGGCTGTGTGTGCCAGGCCACTGGTGAAACTCGCAGCCCACAAGGACACACACACACACACACACACACACACATTTGTCACAGGAAATTAAACACCAAATCTACTGCATATAGAGTGAAAACACACACACTACGAGAGACTAGAATAACAGTGGCAGCTGTTATGGATCGGGACGACAAAAACACAATATGGTACCAAGTATTTTCTTGTCTAGTTTCTTGTGGAAATATCTTAGTGCACTTTAAATAAGACGAAACTTACCGAAAGTGACTTTTCTTCAAGAAGCAAGACCTTATTTTAAGTGGGAAAAATGTTTTGCTATCAGTGAAATTATCGGCCAGTGAAACTAGAACTTTTCCATCGATATTAAGGAATTATTTACTTAAAAGAGCCTCTTATATGTTGCTGAGAAGTTAGTTAATTTTTATTTCAAGTGTACTAAACTGATTCCACTGGAAACTAGAACAACAATACGTGGTAACATGTTGTGTTTTTAAAGTGCAGTCCAGAAATCAGCATCTCCTCCCTTTATTTCTCTACATGTTTCTGCTCAAACCTGCAGGTCTTCTGCAACAACAGTTTGTGTTAATTACTACAAGTTTTATTCAGTCACTAGAAATCTATAAAAACTAAATGGTTATAGAGGTGTGTGACTGGTGTGTGTTGCAGTGTGTGTTCATCACTCACTGATGCAGGGGGCCACAGGCGAGCGGCTCTGCTGGTAGCCCTTGGCGCAGCGGTTGCAGGTGGTGCCGGTGACGCCGTCCTTGCAGGGACACTGGCCGGTGGTTTGGTTGCATGTTTTGCCTGCGGCGCCCACAGGGTGGCAGTCACACGCTGGGGGCAGGTGTGAAGGGGGAGGGAGAGCGTTATTATAGAGACAGAAACAAAATATTCAAACTAGCTGGTTGGATTTGCTGCCAAAATCATATATAGAGGGGAGTTATGATTGACATTTTGCAGGTTTTTGAACATCCATTTGGGTTTCTACTGCTCCTAAACAAACCATCAGCACTCTGACATTTTTTGGTGTCTGGAAAAGAAGTCATTTTAAAAATGTCCGTAATGTAACGTCATAAATCAGCAGGCCTTTCCCCCTTACCTAGCAACCCAACGGAGCTCCAACATGTATTTTTGTCAGCTGGTTTTCCCGTTGTATGTACAATGGCTGCTGGAAAAGACCTGTTGTTGACCTGCCCCCAGAAACCACTCGCTGGTTGTGCAGGAGGCTCCATTAATGCTTTTTAAACATGTGCGGATGTATAATTGTTCATATGTTTGCAGCTATTTTCACGTGTGAATGTAAACATGGATTTGGTGACAAACGCCCTGAAACAGTTCATTCACTGCAAAAAACACAAACTTCATTCAACGTTTTTCTGTGTTTCTGGTGTAAATGTCTTTGCACTAGAAATAAGACAAAACCAAAACAAAGCAAGACAAAATCAGCAACATATCTGATCCTGTTTCAAGTCCATAATTTCTTGGTTAAAAGGTGATCGATCCACTCAGCGCGGAAAACCAGACGTGTAACAAAACACGTTCACTTGTTAAAAGTGAAATAACCTACAGAAGAAAGTAGTTTAACCTTAATATTAAGAATTTATTTGCATGAAACAAACTCCTGTGTTTTGCTGAAAAGCTACTTGTATGTTAGGTTTTGTCTTGAGATGTTTTCTGCACAAACAAGAGAAAAATACTTGGTAAAATTGTTGTTTTTTGCAGCATTTTGAAAGAGCCAGACTAAGCTCTTTATTTTGTGGGAAAAGTGTCACAAACCTGTTTTGTTTTGCCCACAGTCCTTTTCTGTTCATGGAAACATAATAGATCACCTTTAATGCTTTAATGCTTCACAGAACTAAAACTGGATCGGTTTTAATATATTTTGTATTTTTTATGCTTCAGGAAACTTATGAACTTTTGCTTTTCACTTCCTGAAAACTGTAAGAAATTCCCCATGCTGGTGTTTTGTGTGGCGCTGCAGGGTGAGGGTTACGTTCAGAAGAGTATTAACGCGATGATGCATCTTCATCTCCCGTTTCTGCTTATTTCCTTTCTCCTGAACTCCGTTTGGTGACGCTGCGTTATTTCATCACTTCCCGAAAACTCGGTCCATGCCCGGCGAATGCCAACAGCAACACGGCGCGCTCCACTCACCTCGCCTTGGCAACACTTCCCGAGTCCTGGGTGATTTATTTAAGCTACTTTATCCAAAACAAGGCGTTTTTGGCACCAGGGAGTTGTTAGATACATGATCCAGGGTGTTGGTCAGAAGCACTTTGACAGATATTTACAAGAGAGCGCAGAGGATGACAGGAAGAGGGAGAGAGCCACTCATCACAGTGAGGGAAACATTCAGCCTCTCGTGGCTCCGCAGAATAAACAAAATCCAAATAGGGCGTTCGTTTTTTAACAAACAAAACCTGAAAAGTGTGGTGTGCATTTTTAATCTGCTTCCTTTGGAATTACTAATTGATATTAATTAGACTTTGGGTTAATCTCCACCACCTTTTCACATCTACACTGCAAAAACACAAATCTTCCCAGGTATTTTTGTCTAGTTTCTTGTGCAAATATCTTGAAATAAGACAAAATTAATTTAAACAATTTCAACATTGATGAAAATGTTCCTAACAAAACGTGAAACCCCATCAATATTAAAAAAACATTCACTTAAAACAACCAATTATGTCTTATTGAAGTCACATAGGTTCACTTTGTCTTATTTCCAGTGTAGATATTTGGAATAGAAACTAGACCAAAAATGCTTTTTAGATTTTGTGTTTGTAGTGAAATCACTGGCAGCTGCTTTATGTCTAACTGCTTCACACAAACACAAAATCTTACCAAGGATTTTTGGATATTTGCGTTGGAAACTATGAAAAATTACAGTGTAA